TGAAGCTCGCCCTTTGCCGAGGAAGCTAAGGGGGCGGGGTGGGGGGAGATTGTTCAGCTGCCAGGGTGAGCCTTTCTTTGCAAGACGTAATCGTCTTTTTCCTTGTGAAAGACGAGCGGTTAATTTGAGCCATTTGCATCTGAGAGAGTAGCCTGTAACACAGTGCTTTAAAGCCCCTGTATTTTGGATTCTGCGAGCAGGCAAGCTGCAAAGCCCTTTGTCTGTGGGCTGCCGCTGTCGGGAAGCCGTGGATAAACACACGTGTCCCAAGTCCACTCAGTTTTTGGTTCCGTTTTTAAGAGGAGCACACCTCTGTGGAAACTGTGTTCATGCCTCTGTCCTAGTCCTGCAAGCCTGAGATGCCCAAGCTGCTCTTGAAATTGATCATTTAGGGTTTTCTCACAGGCCTGAAGATCCTGGATCAGTTCTGGATCCTGACCCTATAAAGCGATCTTGGCCAATATTGTTTTGGGGACCTCAGAAGACCTGTGCCCTTAGTACTGGTGTAACCCCTAGACACAGAGGCACGGAGGCAAAAGACTGTGGCACCTCCAAGAAAGTATTTCTGTTCCGTAGCGGGAATTATCCTGTGTCTGGTGTATTCTGGCATCAACTGATGGTACTGGTGCATGAAGAAAGCTGAAGTGGTGTGGCGGAGCTGTAAAACCAAAGGCGCGTTAAAATCCATTGGCAACAACAGGAAAAGTTTCAGACCGGGGGACAGAACTTCTTTGAAGCGTTTTGCTCGTGTAGGAGGGTATCAACACCGCTGTGAGCAAGATGACTGTGCTTCCCCCTGTAGCTCTGAGTCACACCACTGGAATGTATTATTTCCTTTAACTTCAGCTGCATCAGCTAACTTGAGTTAGCTTTCAAAGCCAGTATCCCAAAGCACCTTCTCTTGCCAAAAAGTAGTTTTAAGTTCTGCATTATGCATTAGAGCCTGACTCTTTTCCCTTTCTTCCAGTGCATCCGCTCTGGCAGAGTCCACTTTCCGTTCCTGGAGGCACACGACAGTCTCCTATCAATATCCAGTGGAGAGATAGTATTTATGACCCCTTTCTGAAGCCCCTGAAAATCAGCTATGACCCAACCACGTGTCTGTGCATCTGGAACAATGGATATTCATTTCTGGTTGAATTTGACGATTCTACTGATCGATCAGGTAAGCAAAACTTGAAGATCTATGATTTCATGCTTAGAGTAGCAAATCTTTGCATGCTGTAAAATCTCAGGTTCAATAACAAAATAGATGTTGAAAACAAATGTACAGCTGAAGAATGGTGTTGCTAGACAGAAGTTTACAATTATGGGAACTGTAATGCAGGAGGTCTATACACACCTCACTTTTACTATATATTGATTCCCTGAGGTTTTGTGTATAAATCTTCCACTGTAGAGTGACATCTATTCTTATTGAATAAGCATTAATGATCTGCCTTTTGATTAGCTCTTTATAATATCACAGCTTTGTCTGCATGAGTCAATCTTCAGTAGTATATATACTGTGTATATATATAGCTACTTAACTTTAGATGTGATTCCACCATTAAACATTAATAAAGTAATCTGCCACTTATCTCTTTTGAAATGTTAACAGATATTTTTAATGCATTTGAAATGATCAGCAGCAGAATGAACTTTCAGTGGAAAAGCATGCATACTTATCTCAAGCTTTTGGAGAATTAAGTCATACTGAGCTGCAACCATATGGAGCAGGTGCATGTGTTCCTTTTGCTTTAGTATAAACAGAAGTCCACACATGCAAAACCCACTTAAGTATTCCAACAATTTATTGTGATTAAATACTCTGACAGGAGCAGCTATGTTTTTTGAAATGTTCTATAAATTCAAGTGACTTTCAAATCAAGATAATGCTACCAAATTCAAGATTTCCTTTCCATTGTTCCTTTTAAAATCAAATTTACCAAAGTATATTGCTGTTATGTATAAAGAGGGTATTTTAGCAAAGCTGGGTGAACTGGTAGTGATTGACCAGGAATATTGAGTAGCATCTGATTCATGCCAATTACTCAGCTCACCTTGGACAGAAAAACTGAGGGACCCTGCATGAGTTTGTAAATTCATATATGTTGCAGATGACTGTCTGCTTACCATGGGAGACACTAGAACTCAGGGGATTTCATAATGTTCTTGGAAAGCATTTGGCACACTAAAAAAAAAAAATGTTTTATCTTCCCGATACCGGTATTTTTGGTTGATGTTGGGAAACAGGCTGAGGAAAAACTATACAGCAAAGACGACAGTGGTATAATGCATGGAGTTTTCAGGGCATCGTGGGAGGTTTCTTATTTTTATTGTTTATAGCCGTTCACCCAGTATACTAGTTTCCAACCAGGGAATGTTGTAGTAATTGTTCATTTCAGGGCTATGATGTGTAACAAAGAACCAGGGGGTAGTGCCCTTCTATTTTCACAATTCAAAATGCGATTGCATTTGTGAGATGGTGTCAGAAGAAACGGAGGGTTACTAACAAGCTCATCAGTGCTTTTAACTTCCTGACTTTAGACCTGTTCTGCTTTTAACACCCCATTACTGTATACAGCCATACCATGTTGTCAGTTGAGGATGCATTCTTGAAAAGTGTGATAGTTTGCAGCAAGTTCAATGGGTAACAGTCATTTTTTTGCTGCAAGAATTGATGTAATAGAGGAGGGATGCGTGCAACAGCTTAAGAGATACACAGCATTTAAATAGACGGGCAGTATCTGTGATGTAGAGGCAAGCCTGGGATCATCAGGACTGTCAATTAGAGGAAGTGCTGGCCTTTCAGAGCTGGCTATTCAGAACAAATCACAGCTCTGAAAGAGCTCAGCTGCTTCATCTGTGAGACTGAACACCTGACATAAACCTTCAAGCATGAGCGTTTTTTGTTGCCTCCTCCTGGATGGTCACCTTTTTATCATCATCATCTTCCTCGGGTGAATTAAAGTCAATGAAGGTGAAAGATGAAAAATGAGGTAGTGAGGACAGCTAGTGGAGGATGGTATTAAATGATCAGTGACAGAACTCCAACATGACAGACAAAGCAGCAGCAAATCACGGGGTATTGCTGTATAAACTGCCAAGTTTCCAAGTGCCTGCCTCTTTCCTCCACCTTTCTCTCTCTACTGTCGCTATTTCTGGTTTTTCTTTCTGCCAGCTTCTGTCTAACCGTAATAGAATTCCAGAGAAGAAAAGCTTATGAACAAACAAACAAAAAAAGCAACAAAGTTGAAACAGAAGATGAAAAACAAAAAATGAAGCGTATATCCAGGATAGCATGCAGAAGTCCTGAGATGAGGCAAAACAAGACTTGGACAAAAGATGAAGGTAGTGCTCCTGTGGGGTGCTGGCTTATGAACAGAGCAGGAGGATGAAGAAGGAAGAGGGTGTGGGGAAGGTATGTAAAGGGCATGGTCCTATCTGTGCGCATGAATGCCATCTGCTTCAGGGGAATGAGACTAAAATGCAACTAGGGCTACAGGAAAGAACTGCTGTGATTCTTTCCCTCGCTCCTTATTGGAGTCTCTTTAAATTTCCCTTTTGCTTTGACGTTATCAACACTTGAGCAGGTGAGAGGAAGCGGAAGGCAAAAGTGCCACAAAAGGGGTTGCAAGTTCCTGTTTATTTCCTGACTTTTTCTAGTGTCCACTGTAAGAACTTGATTTTGTACATACGTGTGCCTGTGTCTAACTTTACTCATGAGCAGATGTTCAAATGAATGCGATTATTCACATGAATGTAGTCACTTGTGGGTCTGCATTTTCACATGCGTTCTCACATCAGGAACTGACGACGTTAAGAGCACAGAAACCTTAATTCTGATTGTATAAGACTTGGCAGTGTGGTCCCTGTCTTCATCCCATTCCCCCAAATTATCTTTGTCTATCAGGATTTTGTGACTTGACAGCTTTGCATTTATGCCAAGAACTGAGCAGCGGTGGTTGAAATTAATTAAATGCCAATCTGCATAGCTTGTTTTATCTTACTCTTTCATCAGTGTCAGGCCTGCTGGAACAAACTTAGAATTCCAAAACTGTTGGCATTCAAAAAAAAAAAAAAGAAAGAAAGAAAAAAACCCACCACCACCAGCAAAAACTCTTAATGCCTCTCATTGTTTTCTCCTTAGCATTGAAGTGATTAACTTCTTTTCAGAAGTAGTGTTGGGATTATAGACTTTGTACAATGGTTTGCTGTAAAATTTAAGTATGAGGTACAGTTAAGTAAAATCAGCAAATCAGTCTCAACAGCTACATATTTGTTAGCCTTTTGAAAGTATTTACAATCTGTAATCGAGCAGATGCTGTGATGTTGTGGCTAGCGGGAAGATTTTGTAGAATGCTCCTGGTTCAGTCGGGAGGAAATGAGTGAAAACCAGCAGCACTCGGAAGACTAGGCACGGATGATTTCATTCACGTTATTTACAAAAATGATGAGAGGCCGTTTGAAAACGGGAGAGCAAAACCTTAAGAATATTTCCCCTTTGTTTATGGATAAATAGTGTGTCAAAGCTTCCAGGAACTTGGGAATTTGCCTATGGACAAACTGTGTTTTTAGATGCTGAGTGGTGTGTAGCTTGAACATTTTACAATAGGCACAATATTAGCATATTTATAGGTATGTAGGAGATCTTTTAACATTGGTTATGTAGTCTGAAATCTATGTTGCAGTAAGTTATGGTTCTTGCAGATTAGTACTTTTGAACTTGTGTACATTTAAAAAAAAAAAAAAGTAGAGAATTGAATGTTTGACACAATGTACCGAGTCTACTGGCAAAATCGGAGTAGAAACTTGGATATTAAAGACTTGTATTGTCACTGGGGAAACATCAGTATTTCTCATAGATATTGAGACTTCACTGGGATGTTATTTAATAGATGTATCCATTGCTTTCTTTGTCATCGTACATGTTTTCTGTGGTAAGACAGTTCTCAAACGCCTGATGCAGGAGAAGAACGTAGAATTTGTGTGTTATCACCATGATTCTGCCAAACTCCATGTGAATTGGGAAGAGTTTTATTCCCTTTAGGTGAGATGGAAGAGGAGACTAAGCTTATTGTCTCCAATTTGGTACAGTAAAGTTAGACTTCAGGGAAAATAGTGTTGTGTTTGCCTTGAATAATTTTGTTGTAACAAAGTGAATTGTAAAAGTATCCAAGGGATAGGGGACTGTGGCAGTAAGACAATTGCTCCAGCTGACTTTCGTGGACAAGTTAATTTCAAGGAGGATCTTACTGTGTTACCGTTTGGCACAATTCTAAACCACGTTAATTAATGTGTGTGTCTCGTTTTATTTTCTAGTAATCATCGGAGGTCCCTTGGAAAACCAGTACAGGCTAAAGCAGTTCCACTTCCACTGGGGAGCCATAAACGAGTGGGGTTCAGAGCACACAGTTGACAGTAAAGTTTACCCAGCAGAGGTATGAGGGAAAACTGCTGAACAAACAGTGCAGATCTTTGCATGGGCTGGACGCTGTTTTAGGCTATCTGTAACTATAATACTTGCTAGAAAGCTCAGAATGTGTTCGACTTGAACTGCAGCTTACTAAGGATCAGACCTGCCAGATGCCACAGCTCTTCTGCCTTTTTATTAGTAAGTTCATATCCCCTGTATTTGCTGGGGAATGCAATCTTAAACATTGAACGTTGGCCACCTGACTGAAATTTTCATTTATTTTTTCTCTCCCCTGAATGCTCATGGTGGTAGTTGCTGGGTGAGCCTATGGCAGGCAGCAAAATATCATTGGTATTCTAGCTCTGCCTGGGTGGGATGGCACAACTGCTGCTTTAAAGGGGAAAGGATGAGAGAGAAAGCAGACTGAGGGTTCAGACAGGCAGTTATTTTCCCTAGCTTAAGGAACTTCCCGGTCTTAGCTGATGCAGTGCTGATGAGACGGACAGCAGATGCTGAGGTAAATTGTACAAGCTCAGATCTCAGTTAAAAAGATTTGTAACTGCTTTACCTCTGAGATGCAATAAGTGAAGACTTCGTAAGAGGTGTAGGATCCATTTTCTTGGGAGTATGGTGGATGCACTGCATCTCAGCCACTATCTCTAGCAGACCTCCAAATAGCCCAGCCCTTACTGCTTTAAAAGCACCTTGTCTACTATTACCAAACACTTGCAGAGTAATGAAACACATACTAAATGCTGTTTTCATTAATATAAATATTTAAAGTGGAAATGGAAGATTATTTAATTCTCATACCCGTACCTGTAACTCAAGAAGCCTGACCCTTGCTCATCTTATATACAATAACTTCCCTTTGTGTGTAAGCCTGAAGTCCTGGTTAATGTTAGAAAGCTTATTGTAATAACTGTAAGAAATGCACAAAACAATTTTGATAACTGGAATAATCTACAGCACGCTTCTATGCTAATATAATGGTCATGGTGATTGTTTTATGTTTCTGTTTCTAACTCTTAGCTTTTGTGAGTAGACAAGTTCTAAGGCAGAAGGAGAGTCTATAAAGATGATGGGCCCAAAGGGAAAAATACAGATTAAGTTGCTCAGAGAGGAAAGTATAACAGGAGTAAAAAAAATTATTTGCCAAAAATGGAGAACTTGAAAAACGATTATTGCTTATTTTTGAGAAAATGATTACTTCCTTTTAATGATTTCATAATGATACCTATTTTTTTGGCAAGGTATTTATTAACAGCAAAACTGTATGACTAAGTTTTGGGACTGGTGCTGGGTTTCTATTTAGCATACAAAACCTGTTGAGACTGTTTATGTTGGACATGTAACAGTGCAAAGGAAGCCTGTGTTATGTGCAGGAGAAAGTTCCTTAGCAGACTAGCATGGGAACTATGCTAGTTCTCTCTGTTACAAGAGATGGAAGTTTTCCTCAGTTCCAATTACACTGAACTATTTTTGTGCCTTTAACTAGCATTCCTGTAATCTGTTTCCCACAAAAAAAAAAAAATCCCTTTCATTTGTGTGAAATGGTTTTTGGGCTCGTGCCTTAAAAAAGGGGGAAGAGGGGGGAAGAGACCATTACCTTCCAATAACATTTTTGCCCTCATTTTTGTGGCCTCTGATTTCTGAGGTAGCTCACTTTTGCATCTCTCAAATTGCCAAGGACTGAATGTAGCAAAAATCAAAATAGGTCAAATTTCTTGAGCTCATGCTCTGCTCTGTGCCTATATTGATTTCTCGTTCATTTATATTTCAGCTGCATTTAGTACACTGGAATGCTGTTGTGTACCCAACTTTTGAAGAAGCTGTAATGGAAGGTAACGGCTTGGCTGTTATTGGAGTATTTTTAAAGGTAATTTCATTTTGTATAAAAGCTGTAATGATGCCTTTTAATGTCATTATTGGTAAAAACAAATACAGTCCAAAATACCTCTAGATTTCTTTTCATGTCAAAAACCCTGATTAAGGTAGATACGTAACTTCTCCTATTTGTGTCCTGTAGCTAGGAGAACATCATGAAGGACTGCAGACGTTGGTAGATGCCTTGCCAGCAGTTAAACACAAGGTAATTATTTTTAAATGTCCCACTGGTTATTGCTTAGATAGCTAGTGCAGTCGTTCAACCTAAACAAGACTTTTAGAATAGCGAAAAGAAAAGGTTCATTAGTGTTTTGCTAACACTGATAAACATGGACAGGGGCCTGGCTGACGTGTTGGGAGAATTGTTATAGTGGAGGAAAAAAATGCTAATTTTTGAGGAGGAGATTGCATACTTTAAGCTTTCCAAACTCCTTGATTTAAGAAATGCCCTTCTACGGATAAGCAATCTCGAAAGCATCCTGATGCATGATTAGTATTGCCCTTGCTGAAGCTGGCCCTTCTGCTTTCATGAAAGCAGATGCCACTGGACTGATTGTTGGGTTTTGCTTTCTGGAAGGAACTTCCTGTACTATGGAAAGTATTGTTTTATTTCCTTTGGAGTTAACACTCTCTGATCTTTGCTTTTGGAAAGAGGAGATTGCTTGCTTGTTTTTAAACAATAATTTTTCTGCTAAGGAAATACAACTGTTTCTTCGTTGTTAAATTCTGAATTTTCTGCCTGCTGCCAGGAGAGGGAGTGCTGCATCTCTGATAGAGCTCAGAAGCAGCTCATGCTCCTCCAGGTGCTGGTTCCTTTGGAAAGTACCTAAAAGACACATCTAGAAGCTTGCAGGCTTGTAAGTGTGTCCGTTTGAAGTCGCTGTGCCTTTATTTATCACAGTGAGAATTACTTTTATCCGAACAAAACAATATTTATGGCAGTATAGTGAAAACTCTTCCAGATAAATGCCAAAAGTCTGTTCCCTGCCAAAAAAGACCTACAAAAACCTGTAATTGTACATCCATTATGAGAATATATAATATTTCATAGCATCCGAATTTGAATTAAACTAAGGTCGAGGTCTTTCAAAAACAAGTATCTAACATTAGGCTTATAAAACTGCATGTGAGCTGCCCTGCAAGGGGCCTGATTTCCAAAGGGTGGCATTGCCCAGCAACTCTGTCAGCCCTTGGTTTAAAACTTTTGAACATCCTTGATGCCTTGCCAACACTATCACTGACTTCAGCACGAAACCCTGAGGAACATCATCCTGGTCTGAGGGAGGAGGAAGGGCAGATAATGCCTGCTCTGGTGTTCTTGTACCTTCCTCTCACATGTGGGTGAAAGCTTCCATCGGTTGTCTCTTCTTCAGCCCTCTCTTTTTGAAAAAATTTTCACTGTAATATTTCTCATTCTCAACAGGGTACCAATAAAGACTATCTAAGGGAAAACAAGATCTTCTTTTCTTTTACCCCCAATATATCCTGGAAACACCCCAAGTGTTAACTGTTTGTGTAGGAGATCATGGGCTCCAAAGGTCTTACGTGCTGACTGGTATCTCAGTTGTGGGCGTGCAAGCTATGGAGACATGATTATTGGATGCAATTGGAATAAAATTTTACTTGTCTTCCCTTTCCCTGCTGCCTAAAATTGTTTGGCTAAAAATAAAAGCACTATCATTTGAGATTTTTTGAGGACACATGGCAGAACTACCTGAACTTGTTCCACTGTTCAACCTTTTTTTTTTTTTTTCTGTTTGCTTCTAGCTCCCACACAGACATAGTCTATTAGTCATTCACACGCTTTTCTCCTTCATTTAATTCCTAATGGTTTGTGGGGACAATGGAATACTTCAAATTTAAATCCATTCACTGGCTGCCTCTGATGCTTTAAACCAAGTTTTAACAATTTTATAGCAAGTTTACGGCGTTTTAAATTATTATTTTTATGTAGCTTATTAATATTCACAACATGTAATTTTGTGTATGCATACATAACATGTACAACATTTAATCTCATTGTTAAGGTCTTTTAAAGTCTTTTTTTGATTTTTCTTTCCCTCAAATTACAATTTGTAAAAATAAATTCTTTTCCTGGGGTACAGGACACGGTTATTGAGTTTGATGTCTTTGACCCCTCCTGTTTGATACCTTCGTGCCCTGACTATTGGACCTACGCGGGCTCTTTGACTACTCCCCCACTTACAGAATCAGTCACTTGGATTATTAAGAAGAGGCCAATAGAGGTTGATGAAAATCAGGTAAATTTTGTGCAAATATTTCATTTTATACCATACCTATTTGACTGCCTACTGCTGCAGAGGGGAAGTAAAGATGCACAGAAGAAGTTGTAAGCAGGGCCCGTAATTCTCTGTGAAAGCAATGATAGGCTTGACACCTAGCATTTCTTTGGGGAAGTACACTGACCTTTACAGTAGCTACTCTTGAGACTTCTACAATAAGCAGTGTGAGATGCTTCTCCAGCTCCCCAAATAGTTTCATCCTGATCTCTGATGATGCCTTGTGCTGGAAACTGCCCCTTGAAAACTTCTAACGTTATTTATTAGAACACTGCATATTTTTACTCTCCTTAACGGGATCTAGTCCTTTCTGGTAAGGAGGGATGAGAAAGGGTAGGTTTTGTGCAATTGTTAGCTCTGCTGACTTTTTTGTGTATTCCTGATAGCTACGTGCATTTGCACAGGAATTTTGCAGAAACTGCAAGGGCGAATCCTCTGTTCTTTCCTTGGAGACTCTCTGCCTTCTATATCTTCAGAGCTGGCTCTAAGACCTTCACATACCTTTCTGATAGCTAAGCATAGAGTGAGCCCCAGTAGGTTTTCTCCTTTGCTTTTCTAGTTGTGTTTACGCCATAGTTGGCTGTACTGTCCTTGAATTTCCTTTTTAATTTCCCTTTAGAAAAGACAGACAGACAAAAGTTTCTGCAAGTGTGTTAACGTTCCAGAAGTTAGCCCAGGCAGAGGAGTTTTTGGTCAGTGGTCTTTTCTGACGCTAGCCCAAACCTGTCACTGTGAACCCTCTACTGCTCTTAATTTTAGTACTTCATGTTGTACAATATAATGTTATTTCTTTGTGTGAAAGAGATGTAGGGACAAGCAGAAAATGGTCAGAAGGAGGACTAATTGGAACTGTACTACGTTTGCACTCTTTGGGCGGTTTTCAGGATTTTTTTGTGTATTCAGAGGAGTAACATACATTGAGAGGCATTACAGCACAGAATAATTCCTGGGGATTGTTGCAAATCGAGGAAGAATGTACTATGGTTAAATCTGCCAATTTTTCGTACTTGAAGAAGCACTGAAGGAAAGTCATCTGTGCAATGTCCGTGTCTTTTTGAGGCTTGGGTTAATAATAAAGCGCGAGTCCAATGACATGAGGTGAAATTCTGTTTTTTCTTTTTTAAATGAAGCTTCTGCATGGAGCTAGGATCCATCTGTAGTCAAGCTCCAAACTAACATTTACCCTGAAGAATAAGCATGTACATGATCTTAATGTTTTGGTTTGCACACAGGAACAGGACTGGCAGAACAGAAAATTTTAGGAGGACAAGGAAGAGAGCTAAATGCGTACTGTAGAATTTTTCTTTTCAATTCAAGCTTTTTCCTCATATTTTTATCTTGGCTCTTCTTCACACTCATTTTCTTATGGCATAGAAAGGCTTATAGTTTATGCGACATTGTAATGCTCTTGTGAGCATTACAAATCTGATCTGCTGCACTTTTTTAAATCCTGAGTTATAAACCTTTGAAAGCAGCAACTATACGACTACATAGATTGCTGCTTGCTGAGATTTCCTGTTTTCTGGGTATCAGCATATGCCAACAGAACTCCAGGAAGGATGTCAATTTAGAAGTTTAGAGAGATTTATTTAAAGATAGCATATGTTCCAGTGTTTAAGGGGAATCAGTTCTGTCTCAGAACTGACACATTCAAGATCCAGTTTGCTTAAAGGTGGCAGATGACTGACAACTCTTCTGCATTGATATGGATGGTGGCATAATCTTTATCAGCAAGTGACGAAGACGTGCCAGAAGTTCATGCTAAGATTCCTCAGAATGTGAATGTAATAGTATATCTGATAGTTTCTAAGCATGAATGATTGTGTTTTGTCGTTTACTCCAATATTCTCCTGTTAGCAAAGTCACAAAATTGGCCATTTCTCCTTCTCAGCTGGAGGCATTTCGGATGCTGCTCTTTACTTCAGATGGTGAAGAAGAAAAGAGAATGGTAGACAACTTCCGCCCTCTTCAGCCATTAATGAATCGAACCGTCCGTTCATCCTTCCAAAACATGCATCTCTTGAATATTGAAGCACAGTCCAAGGACCATGCTCAGCAGATCGGGCCATAGGTGGCCCGTGAAATGTCAGTCCAGATTGCAATACCTGGATATAGCTGACGTTTTTTTATTATTATTTTTCCTTGTTTGCAGTGTGTATATGCCATACAATTTCGCAGCCAGCCATTTTCAGTTCTACTAAGCGCCATTGAGAAGGAGCGGATGTTAACTCTTAACAACTTTACTCACTTCAAAGCAGTGTTTGATAAATATTAGTATGTGTCAGGAATTAAGGAATTATTTTGAATGTTAAAGGAAAAATAGGGGGAGGAGATCTTATTCCTGTCTTTTATCTGAATTGTTTTGTGTCTTTTCAAACACTCTCTCAGTGACTTGAATGAATTAATAATCCCAACTGAAAACAAGCAGGAAATTTGAAGAAATGAAGAATGAATTAATACTGATCAGGTGCATTATAGAATTGTTTCAGTGGTTTGGAAGAAGAGCTATTGTCTCATCATTTAGAAAGAGACTTTTTATCTTCTTTTTTTTTTTTTTTCTTAAAAAGAAAAAAAACCCAAACTTGATGCTTAATATGACAAGAGGAGAACGAAAATTTTGATTTATGGAATCCAGACCTTTTCCATTGCATTCACTGCATGATCAATGTTTGGTATGGACGGAGCCACAGAATGTCCACTATATCCATACTACAAACGAGAAGACATTTTCTAAAACCTAATAACAAATTTAGAACCTTTTAAAAAAGAAAAGTAGAAGCTGCCAAAATTAATGATGTACCAGAAGAAAGCAGGAGAAGAGAATTGCCACTATCTCAAGACTATACAAGAGCAACAGATTTAGCAAAAATGTCCAGTGGATCCCAGGAAACTGATCACATCAGAGGAAAACAAAATTAGATGAGCCCCAGCTGACCCTGCTAAGGATACCCGCAGAGAGTGTGTGGGGGGGTGGATTTCTGAAACCTAATCCAGTGCTAGGAGAGTGTGGAGAAAATTTTTCAAGTACGTGAATGCTGCATTTTTCAGCAACTCTTAGAGCACCAGTGTACTCTTTTCAACGTTTTGCCTAAAGCTGTACTTTTCTTAAAAGAGAGTTACCTAGCTTAATGACCACTGAGGACCAGACCGTGTTACAGAACGTTATGGAAATGAATTTAAGTGGTGGTGGAATCTTATTTGGGGACCAGACAAAATTGCCCTTTAAGTTGCCAGTTGTAGAGCCTTATCCTAGAGTTATGGTCCAGTTGGCACAAGCGTTATCTACCTCTGAAGCGTACTGCTAGCCACGATTTTCTCTAGAGCATGTTTCTCACTGACTTTATATGCTTTATTGTATTTAACAGTGTGACTGTGCGTTAAATTCATGTACAAACTACATGGTCAGATTTTTCTAAGGAGGAAAAGGTATATCTGTGAACGGATGACATGTTCTTGACTGATTGTATTTAAGTAGCCTTTTTGGGGGAGGGGTGCTAATTGGGCTACTTCTGCCAGTAAGCAAAGTGTCTAGTTGCTGGTGTCGTTCAACGCAAGAGATGCCAGGACACTAGCTTATGAGTGGTCAGTTCAGAAGTTTGGGACTTTGGGAAGTTTTTGTTTTTTCTTTTCTTATTTAAGTCCAAGTGTTCAGTTTAAAAGCACTTTACAACATTTTGGTGTGACGCTGACTATTTCAAGGCTTTGCAATGTTTTTGTTTAGCTGCTTGAAGTACCCAGTTCCTGCCTCTGCCTCCTTCACAACTCTACCTCAGGCTGTTGCTGTATTGCAGCAGTTGTGCCTTTCTGCCTTGGCAATTTGAAATGTGTTCACTTACCTTAGGGGGGTTCTATGCTAAATAGTAAATGTAAGAAAATCTTTCTTCTCTCCCTGTTCTGCTTTACTGTGCAGTATGCTTAACATTGCACGTATCTTGAGCTTCATTACTTCTCTCAAGCCCATGTTGCTTAGCTGAACTATACCGTATGTGTCTCTGGCATCACCAACCAGATATTCACTATATTTCACATGCACTTTCTGCTGGTATTTGAACTCCTTGGATTACACAGATGTCACTGAGGGCATAATCAAGCCTTCCTGGACCTGCAAAGTGTAACTAAGGGCATCATGCTGGTGCTAGTCTGCAGAACCACAACAGCGGTGGTTTTGCTGGAGAATGACAGATTCCAAAATGATTCTGGAAGGGACGTTTACAGGCCTGGCAATAGGAGACACGTTCCTTACTTTCTGCTTGAGCCTGCTTTACCTAGAGTCACTGTTAAGCTTGAAGTTCCTTTTAGTACTGTTCTTAGAAATGCTTTTCTGAGAAGGACCTTGTATAAATATGGCAGCAATTCGGAACTGGGTGCTTTGCAGGTATCTGGTATACCTTTGAGATTTTTGCTACTCGTTGTTAGCAGTTAGGAAAAAATATAGTGGAAAGTCATCTTAATGTTGCCTTAAAAGTACGAGTGACAGCCTGTATCAACCAAAATATTTGAAACTACTACATTATAAAATTTCAGGAGGGTACAGTAAAAGAAAGCTGTGACATAGTCTCCATGATATCGGCGAGGAGCCGTCCGTTTGCTTTATTAACGGAGGAAAACCGTTAGGAGTAAAGAGGGAACAACTTGGCTTAATTTGGCTCAGTTTGAATTACCAGCTATAAATATACGTGAACTTTTAACATGCTTAAAGTTGCAAGTTAAGCAAGCATCTCTAAATTAGTATAAAATCTCTTCATGTAAGGTACTTTTTTTCTTAAGGTTATTAGTTTAAGTTTCTAAAAACAAGCAAACTCTCCTCATCGTAAGTGAAAGGGGCCTTTAAATAAACTTCATACTACAGCTCAAAATATTTTAGTTGCCTTGGTAATTTTTCTAAAGTTTTTGTGCGGCTCTGATCTGCTGAACTTGTTTCACTAGTTGATAAAACTATCGTGGCATATACAAGTGCAAAATACACATTTTGCTCTTAAGGAGCTGCCGTAGTATAAGTGCTTAATCTTCAGCTGTTTCATAATGCTGTAGTATGCTTGTATCCAACTGAATTCCCATCGGTTAGATTTGTTCTACTGAAAAGAAAATTTTTTTCCTAATTGCAAAAGTTCTTTCAGTGTGCTTGCTCCCATGCACCACTCACAATGATGTTGAATATTTTATCTCCAGTGATCTAATTAAGATGTAAAATTCTCATATAGATTTAATTATTTGGTTAAAGTACTGTCACGGAAGTTTTACTAGAGAGCAGCTGTATTATCCAGGCATACAGTTAAAAAGCTATACTTTCTGTATATATGTTTATATAAGATCACATCTAAATATAAAATCAATAAGTTTTCAGCACTGAACTTCAAATATCTCAAAACAGGGTCAGCATTAAACTTTTAACTCTATTGCGCTAAGAAAATAAGCTCTGCGGGGATTTCCTGTTACAGGTATTTTGCTCCCTTCTGAGATGCTGTTACATTTATATATTAGTGTTCTAGCATCTCTGGTTCAGGTAGACTGTATCTCAGTTGCAAGGCAGATGGTCGCATGTTGAAATTAGCGGACTGGAAATGAGTATAGATTTTATTTTTATATTACAATGACTACATTGGCCTTGCAAAAGTTAACTTCAAGGAAGATAATTCTGCATGCATGTACATGTGCATGTGCATAAATAGGTGGTGGGGCGTAATTCTTTTGTCCTCTTTTTCAGCCTTTTTCATAGTGGGGGACAAAACCTATGATTTTATTCAGTTGTTGGACTTGAGTATTAGTAATGATTTTGCACAATAGCGTTAAGCCCTGTTTGCAGATGTCTCCATAGGAATCTTCTGACTCTTCTTTTAGATGGTACAATATAGGAGGGTCGAAGCACACAGTTGTGTTTGCACTTGCATTGTAATCACTTTTGTCACATGGGTTGAAGATTGTGGTGGGATTCCCTCTGAGGAGAGTAAGCTGAAATGAGAGCAGAAGGTTTTGGAGGGCAGAGCTGCATCCATGTTGGTCCAACATGCTTTCAGTAACAGAAATTTCCAAGGCAGCAGTCTTCCTGTTAAATATCACTCTTACAGAAATCTCATTGTTGGTGCCTTTATAGTTAGGATGACTTTATTTGGCACTGAATATTTGGTCCATATTCTCGCATTCCAGAGCTTTCATACCAGTGCAGTTCAGGTATTCACCATATATACCTGACCTGTCTTTTGCTGTCTTCTGTTGTAGATGGCTTGCACAGGTATTTTTACCTCAGGACTGGCAGGAGTGTATCTTTTTGGCTTTGAAAGCTATAGAAGTGGAGATTGCTTTGTTCTCAAAAATCTACAGGGTATCAGAGTACTGGAAATCCACATGGCTTGCTAGTGAGGAAAGGTCCCTTATTCTGCTCAACTTTGTGGTCAATAGTATTTGCTTTCAAATTTGAATGCTTTATTTTTGCGAGTCTTAACTTGTGATTCTTGACGTATCTTTGTTGTTTTTCATCGTGTGTCTTGTTTTCTTGGCAGTTATTTCATTGCGTATTTTAATGTATATTATCTGCCTAATCATAATTTACTGAAATAATTGTCTTTATGGATAGCATAAAAAAGGGGAATGCCTCTTTGTTCGGCTAGGAAACAGACCTTTCTTCTGAGTTGTTACTTGATGTAAAGAAACTTTTAGCTGCTGTGTTTTTAAAATGTCAAATTAGTGTGCAGATACGCAATAAAGAAACACAGAGAAACCTGTGTCTGTATCTCATTGTGTAATTAAGCTCTCCAAGTTGAAAAATAGCTTTTCTGTCAAAAAAATACAGTTCCTCCCTCAAAATGAACCATTATGAGTAGAGTCTAATCAGATGTCAAACACTGTGTGATACTTAAAAGCTATGAAAGACTCTGCTGAACAGTATTGTAATTGGAACGAACGAACAATAACCCCTGTGTTGCAGCACTACTGACGACAGAATACCCAATTATTTGTTATGTTCGACTAAATGCAACAGGCTAGCTAAGATAGGACTGCAGATTTTGAGGATCTTTGCTAAGTAACTTCATTTGATACTTATCGGACAGATTTTTTTAGGTTGAGTTTAAATGATGAGCTCTTTTTTGTATAGTGTAATTGGTCCTGATAAAAGTGAGCAAACTAATGTGTGGTGTAACTTAAACTTGAGGTACCACATTTAGTGGTTCTGCAGTGCTTCTCTTATTCTATGGCTACAAGAATCTTATCAAATAGCCTTAAAAGCTTTGAATAAAATAAGAAATTACTTTTACCAATAAAAATTGGCTACAGATGAAATAAATTCCACTGCTCTGTCTCACTGCTAGCTGCACTTAAGGTCTAGACGTCATGCAGTTGTGGTATGCTAAGCTGAATTTGTTCAAACAAGTTTCCACTTCTTTTGATAGAAAAGTAGATGATTATATTCGTGGTTGGGCATTCCCCCCATAAAAATAACTGTACGCATTACTCTTGTATAAGGCCTTCCAAATTGTACCCTTTAGTACTGTTTGTGGTAGGCAGGGCGATTCAGTGTGAAGAGAGGCCGGCACAGATTGAGGCCGAGGCCGCCTTTCCTGTTACTGTTTAAGGGTTCCAGAAGCCACTGCCACTTCCACTTTACCCAACAAAAAAGCTTATAAGCTCTTGAATTAATAAAGCTAAGGTGTTTGCTAAAGAACCAGCTTATTTGGTTCCAGCAGGCTGTCTTATTTTGATCAAGGGAGCTCTCCTGATAAATGGTTAACAACATACACGTTACTCCTAACAAATGGCCAATTTACTTCTGATATTGGTAATTATTTGTCTTTCTGACAAATAATTCTTTCTGTCTTTCTTTTTGATGTGACAAACTTAAAGTGCCTGAGTATTAGCATATGGAGAACTGATTGTATAATCAAATCGTCTTCAAAGATTCTGCGGAATAACTTGGGGACCTGAAGAGAGTTAATGTTCGCGGTCAGAACTGATAATAATACTTAGCATTTGTAAAGTGCTTTGAAGATATAAAGTACTATATGAAGACACCCTAACAGCATGACTGCAAAGTAGGTATTCTCTCAGTAACACAAATGGAGAAACAGTTGCAGAATTAACTCTGATTAATTCGCAAGAGAGTCAAACATGCAGTTAACTTTAAATACGGCTGTTCAGTGGCAGTTGTGCCATTACTCGGCTGATTCTTGAGCTGGTGATTTTCAAATGAAAATGGTGTCAAAACTGAGGCTGCAGACTGGCAGTTCTTGGTACCAGTCTATTAGGAAATTCCCTTTCAGCAGAACTGGATGCAGGGAGAAGAGGGCAATTTGGTCCCATTCATGTGGAGGTTGATGGAAATTTCTGTGAACTAGGTGTAAAATCGGGAATAAAATGCCAGTCATTAAACAGTTAATTTGTTTGCATTAAGGTAAGAAGAGCCTAGAGCCCTGGTGAGGTAAATGCGTTGATAAATGACTTGTTCACACAACTGTGCCGCTAAGTTTCAGCGTTCATCCAAAAATACTTGATGCATACTTCTGCTCTGGTTCCAGTCCTGCCCCTCGGATTCTGAGGTAGCAAAGTTCATGCACAGATAAACCTGCTGTGACAATCCCGTGAATATTGTAGGTACCTGGCTTTTTTTGATTTTTAGAGCCCTATGAATGTTTTGCCTAGGAGAAAGTATGAGAGGAAGTAACAAATAAAATGTTGGTACATCTTACTTTGAAAAATATTTAAATTACAGTGTTAAGCCAGTAGGCTGAAACAGGGTTTTCAGATTGCTCATGGTAGGTGTTCACAGCAAAATGGCTACCATCGTGACGGTGGCGAGTTCCGAGAAATGCAGAACACGCCAAATGTAACATAAAGGAATGAAAATGGTAAGCTTTTTTTCCCAGTGCTTGTACAATTTGACTAACTAAGGGAACTATAAATATGCTCACTTAACAGGCAGCAGATAATTTTAAGTTTGATCAGAAACAAGACTTTCAGGAATGTTATGTGGTATTTTCCACAAAGGGTTTTGCTGTTAGTTTTTATTTTAAATTGATTTTTACAGTCTTTTTAATCTATTCAGGATCCCTTTTCTGTCTGAAAGCTAGAGAGAAAGTTTGTCTAATGCATTTATCTCAAAGTTTTGTTTCCTAAACTGTAAATAACTTACTATCATCTAACAACAAAGAAGAGTAAAAGCAAAACCAAATCCAAGAAAAGAACCCTAAACACTTAGAGTGAGAATTAAACTTAATGATGCTTGGTGATGAAAGGAAATACTGAAGTTATCTTTAATATCTCCATTTTAAAGCATAAATGTTAGATTGAGTGTTTCATGATTGTGTTTCCTGAGTTGATTTTTCCAGCAAGCATGAGCTGTTCTTTCTCTAGAGACTGTGGTTGTTGCAGGCAGCATGTTCTAACCGGAGGCATCCCAAACAGTGGTCATATTTGAAAAAAATCTGCCTTTCTCTTTTAAAAGAAAGGTGTATAATTCTGTACTCTGCGACTTGAGTTCACTTTATATGGCATGAACGATTGCAGGGTGTGGATGTCTTAGACGAGATAAATCAAGGAATGCACTTTCTGCAAAGGTAATTTTTTGCCTAACCTTTATTTCTAAATATGGATGAGGGATAATATATAAAGATATAAATCCATATAAATATAAATATCCATATAAATATAAATCCATATAAATATATGGATGAGGGATAATATATAAAGGGAGAAATGGTGATTGCTCCTTCAGGTCTTTGAATTGCTGTGACTAACAGCCACTAGGTGTCATGTTCTGCTAGGTTGCTTCAACAAGCTGCTGGAGAGAGCCCAGAGTATAATCCTTTCTCTGTATAATGGTTGAAAGTGGTCATGATGCTAATTACCTGTGCAAGTTACCTGAAAATTTTGCTGAAGTGTTACATCTTTCCCAAAGATGCAGATCTCATGTTTCTGAGAGGTATCTTGCAGAAAACCTTCAACCCTGGTGCCCGCACCGAAGCGTGACTGAAACCTCCAAGGAGGAGGATGGTCCAGGGCAGACGGACGCTGACCTTGGGTTTTGGAGCGGGGGCAAGACTGTCTTGCGTGATACTTGGTAAGTCACTCGTAGCAGCGCAGCTCCTCAAAGGTACCGATTCCTGCTCTCGATGGGAACGTTTGTCACTGAGAATGTGGGCTTTAGCCTCTGAACTCATCTGCTGTCTCACATCGATAGCAGGAGCTTCACTTTGTTAAAGAATTGACTCCTTTAAGCCCTGTTGTGAAGTAGCTAAATAAGCCTGCTTGGAGGCCAGTCCTATGCCTTTCTTGCGGTAGTGGATGGGAGATGCTCGTTTTGCCTGGGTGCTTGCAGGCTTGGCACTCTGCGAAGCAAATCTTTTTGGTAGCGTAAGAAACGACGGGCCGGCTTCTGCAGTGCCAATGCAGAAATGCAGGAGCTGCAGCACCTAGGCCTCGGCCTCGGCCTGTGCTCGTGTGAACATGCCTCGTAGAAGGGTGCAGAAAACGCATTAAAATCCGATGGGGCTGGGGGGAGCGGGGAGGATTGGGAGATGCTGCGTTTGGCCGAACTTGGGGGTTTTCCCTCCTTAACCCCCCCCACCCCACCCCTCCCCGTTCTCTTGCACGACAACGCACAGTCCCGTCCAGAAAGGAGGATGAACGGCAACAAAACCCTCCTTTCCTGGCTCCC